TTTACTAAAATTTTGTTACTCTTTGAGATATATAATTATAATTTTTGTTACCCTTTGAGATATATTCATATATTTTTTGTTACCCTTTAATGTATATGGTCACATTTTTTATTACCTTTTGAGATATATGGTCACATTTTTGTGAACCAGAAAAGTAGTAAAAAATCATTTTTAGATTGAATTCTGCTACATCAAATAACATTGGTATGCAATTTAAGCTTGATTCATGTTGAAGAAGAGATTATGATATTCATTAAATTTATATCCTTCACCACTTCTCTTGAACTTTTTTAATAGCAAGCTGTATATCATAAATAATTGTTATCCTTTTTTTATATAAATTTGGGTAATTGAATGTGTTTTAGATATATAAAAAATCAATGTATTTTAATATAAAAATGGAGTTAAATGATGACAACTGGTCACAACTATCGTCATACTTGATATGGTATATAGGATCTTGTTCCAGTAATAACAAAACACTGAATTGATAACAAAAATTGATATACTTTGGTGTGAAAATGTAGCAAAAAAAATAAATCATACCACATACTTGAGGTAGTATAGCTGATGGCTTTCCTGTGTGACCAAAAGCTTGAATTGATGTACAAAAATTGATATGCTTGGTGATGATTTTGAAGTGTGAAATATAGCAAGTTAACTAGTGCTAGACCAGAACATACAATTTCATCTTACTAATGTGCATTCCATATTACAAGAAAAAAGTGTAATAAATTTATTATAAAAAATATATCTATACCATTAAATAATTCCTTGAATAAAAATTTTTTAATTCTTTATTTTGTGATTTATGTAAATATTTGTTGTCAAATTGAAGATAAAAGGTACAAACTTCTAGTTTAAACAAAATACCCTTAACTTTTTTTATTGTATTTCTATCAACTTGCCATATATCAAAAGATTATGTAATGGTCTTATTTTTCACTATTACATCTATAACATTATATTTTTTTATTAATATAATCAATTATTATACATGCTGTTAATTTGACTTGTTCTATAATTTCTATTATCTCATCTTTATTGTTATTATTATATTGTTCATTATCACTATAATTTTCATTTTCGTTTTTATTTTTATTTTCATTTTCAAAGTCTATTTGTTTATTTTCATTATTATCTAAATTAGAATTACTAGTTTCTGTATCATTAATTTTTAATAAACAACTGTTATAATATTCTTCTTTAATACAAAACCTATTGTCACTATCTAAATTATCTATGGAAAATAGAGAAAGGAAAAAATTTAAAGTGTTATCTCTTGTTCTAACATTTTTAATTATTTTCAAAATACAAAAATAAAATAAATTAAAGTTTGAGATGTAAGTTACTAACAACTTTTCTCGCTTATCTGAAGCAAGAAATATTTATTCAAGTGTCACAATGGCTGGTGAAACAAGATTTTTGTACGTTAGCATATATGCCAATATATATATATTATATGTTATTAAAGATTTTGATTGGTAATAATTGGCATATACTAATTAAAAACTTCCTATGTCGATCCCTGATATGACTACTGATTGACTAATAAATAACCAATGACCTACTTGTCCAAAAATAGAAATAAGAAATTTATAAATAATAAAAACAATTACACAAGCATAGGAAAAGTCTAGATTTTGATCAGCAAGTTACACAACTATTTATATTAATTTTATAATAATATTCAATTGATTTACGATCGTTCTTATGACAAGTCACTAAAATAACTAAATGATTGGTAATGAAATTTCGCAGGTATATTCTTTCAAGTCCTTTCTTTCATTTGCACACATTTGATCTCACCTGATCTCACTGCTACTGAAGTTTATATAGAAAGTATTTTTTATATTAATATACTAAAATCGTATGGAAAAAAATACTTAAAAACTTATTATATAACTTCTATTAAATTTTTTAATCATTTTTGCACGAAAAAATTATTTTATTTGTTTATTAAAATTTATTATAGAATTATTAATACACCATATATTATCAAGTATTAATATTATTAAGTGCCATTACAAACTTTGTATGTATATCTTGATTTCTATTTGTTTCTTTATTATCTGTTATCTCATCATCTAATGAAACTTCTTCACATTCATCTATTTCTTCTGAAGTTAAAACATTTGAACCCTTTTCTAATCAATTTAAAAAAGATTTCACATTACTATAAATTTCATGTTTATAGTATTCCTCACAATATCGACAACTATATTCAACCTTTTGATAACATTCAAAGTGATAACCATGTCTACAGATTAATACCTCACTATTATCAAGTTTTTTGTGACAAAGATCACACTCATCAAGTGATGGAGGTACACTAGTACTATAACCTGTTGGAAGACATCTTGAATCAACTATTTCTCCTAATGTAATTAATTTACATTCTATTTTTTTTTTTTTTTTTTTGTAATTTACTTTTTTCACAATTATTAAAAATTTCTTGAAAATAATTTAATAAAAATAATACTGTTTTTTCAGTAAGTAAATTTAATGATGATAACTTGTAAGGATAAGCTTTTGTTTTTTCAAAAATATCTTTAAGTTCACAATGGTTACGGGTATCTATAAATATTAAAATTAATATAATATTAATAATATTACAAATTAATAATGTAAGTAATTTAAAATTTTACCTATTACATAAGCTTGTTTTATAATATTATTTATATTATTGTTTGGTGATGTATGTGCTCTAATTTTACTATGTATGTTTTCAACATAATAATCATTAAAATTGATTAAAAATAATTTTATAACTTCTGCAAAGGGATGTTTGACATCTTGCCAATAAAAAACATCTGAAAGAAAAGCCAATGGTGCTTTATTATAATTATGTCTTTTTCAACAAAGAGCAAATGTCCAAATTCTGAAAATAGTTTTTATATATTCTTCAAATGATCCAGATCTGAAAAGAGTAGCATAAATATCTAATGTTGCAGATATTATATTATCTAATAAATCAATTATCATTCTATATTCAATGTCTTTATTAATTCCAAATTTTGTTAAAACTATATTTCGTATTTTATTCCAACCATTATAAGCCAGGTCAAGAAGCAAATTAATTCTCCATGGTTTTGGCTTTTTTGCTAATACTTTTTTTTTCCAAATACAAAATGAAAGAGTTTTTCAAAAAATGAATGATATATTAATATAACATGTTTTCTGCTATTAAGTGAAACATGTAATGGTCCCAAAATAGGAATAAAAGAATTAATTCCATCTGGTATTATATATTGTGAATTTGTTTTATGCAAATTTGTTATTGCTTTTCTAACAAACAACTGTCCTGGCCAATCTGCTACCAATGGGGCTATTCTATTACATAAATGTCCAGTATCTTTATCAATATCCAATATCATTTGTAATGCCATTATATAATCATTCATTGAATGCAGGTTTTTTTCTTGAAGTCCAATTAATCGTACTTTTTTCATTGAACGTTCTTCTTTTCTTTCTGCAATTGCATCATCATAGCAATGTACAGTAAGTAATTCAATTTGATCAAAATTATTAAAATTTGACTTTCCATTTGTAACCTATTGTTTTTTACGGTTGGTGTAGGCAATATCAAATATTCCATGATATTCATTTATTAATCGAAAACAAATATTACTAGTATCGATATTTACTGGATTGTGTACTGGTATATTGTTAAATACAATAGGTATAGGTGCACATGCAGAGACTTGCTTACAAATGCAAGTAGCCATGTGTTTTGCTGTAGATAAAGTTACATTATCAGGACGTCTTTTTTCATGAATATTATGGTAATCGTCCAAATTATAAATGTACAAGTAATTGTTCTAATTGATAAATTAAAATTAATATTAAATTTTATTAAAAAAAAATTAAAATTTTATTATTATTATTACTTGTTCTCTAAAGAACTCTCTAATTTTTAAAGGATGTTCATTTGCAAGTTTTCTTTTGAAATTATTAACTGTTGTATAATATGCAGAAAGTTCAATACTATTCATTGTATCAATTGCAGTACGTGTTGTATCTGATGCTGACAAATAAAATCCAATTTCTAACTTAAGGTCATTAGCAAACTTGTTTCGCAATCCTGCCATAATGTAACATAGACTTACAATTGTTTTTTGTGCTTCAATCTTATTGTGTTCAGATCTTCGATTAGGAATTAATGCCTTCATTAATTTATTGAAAAAAACTTCTAAACGTGGCTCAGCTTTTACAATCATTTGTTGAAAACGGAAGGGGTCAAGCTCTATATTACCACGTTGTACATACAAAACTTTTGTAAGCATAGCAATTTGCTTAACAAAAGAATAATTTTTTGGTTCTATAAAATAAAAAAAAAGTTAAACAAATGATTTTACATTAAAAATACATATAAATAATTAATATTACCTGGTGTTCTTGGTTTCTGACCACGAACGGGTTCAACTATTCGCAAATAATGGAGATAACATAATTGTTGTCCAATTTTTAAATATGGATAAGTTTTATAAGTTCCTTTTTTTTGAGCTTTACTATATGCTAGAGAAGTAAATTGACGATAACGATCTTGTGGAAGATTACAATTTTGTACAGAGCAAGGACCATAGTTTTTTGGTGCCATAATGTGTAAAGGTTGTTTTGTAAACTTTAAGTGTAATCGTATAAAAAATATTTAATCAGATCGCGGTCAATAACGACCAATCACGATCAACCACAACAAATCACGATATTGTTGATCACAGCCAATAAAAACAAACTTTCTCTATGCTAATTACACATGAGAAGTTGGAAGAATTTCATTGGAAGCACATTTGAACATCCCATCAGTTTATCTTAGTTTATCTATCCCCATATAAAGATAATCAATGCAATCTTCACGTGTAAACTAGGATGGAAATTATTATTAATATATATTAATTGGGAATCCGCATTTTAAATATGAAACGAAACTTTTAAATATAAATGACGTATATATTACAAGTATAAAAATCTGCAATTCTTTTTTTCCTCAACCATAAAAAATGGGTTATTCACAAACAATTACCGAATCAAAACCACGTCCACATGATGGTACCCCTAACGGTGTAGTTATTAACAACCGAAGAATCATCAATGTAACTCATATGATTCCCTATAATCCAAGTATGCAAAATGATCCCGAACAAGAAAAAGATATACAGTGGACTCTGAGAACAAGAAGAGGTCATTCGGCTCTTTACTCGGGTATTCATTCCTTAAGCAGTGAATGGGATAATTACCACGTAGGTTACATAGGTCCAGTTTATGACGTTGAGGAAAAGCCCATCGAATTAAGTCGTTTTACCGATGAGTTCAAAAAAAGTTTGGACGAATTTTTGGCTCAACGCAAGGTAATACCAGTTTGGCTAGAGGATTCTGAACACCATGGTCATTACGAAGGATTTTGCAAGACTGGTAAGTGCATAAAATAATATTATATTCGAATAACCTAATTCGTCTAACTAATTTTTATTTTTATTTTTTTTTAGTATTATGGCCATTATTCCATTATATTTTATGGGAAGCCGCGACTGATGGTCGTGTAGAAAAAAATAATTGGGAACAATATGTTAAAGTGAATTCAAGATTCGCCGACAGGATTGCGGAGATCTATCGACCCGGTGATTTAAGTATGTCTTATTCTTTAATTCCGCAGTTCCCTTTTAAAAATCCAAACCTTTTCATAAAAAAATAATAATATAGTTTGGATTCATGATTACCATCTATTGTTGGTACCTCAAATGTTACGTGAAAAATTACCAAATGCCACAATCGGTTTATTCATTCATGCTCCTTTCCCGAGTTCTGAAATCTTTCGATGTTTGCCAAGTATGTATATTCAATATTACTACTTTACATTATTATTTTTTTGATATAAAACCGGTTTATGATTTTTTAATATATTATAAAGAGCGAAAGGAGGTATTGAATGGTATGTTGGGCGCTAATCAGATAGGATTTCAGGTATTTAAACATTTATCAGTAAAGAGTATCTTTTCATTATTTCGAGTAATGTTGCATTGATCCTTTAATAACAATAATAACAATAATTAATTTAATAGACATATTCATATGCGCGACACTTTACTAGCAATTGTACGCGTATTCTTGGATATGAATCTACTCCGGGTGGTGTTGATTGTCAGGGTTCATTGGTTTCAATTGCCCCATTCCCGATTGGTATTGATACCGGACGAATCGAAAAACAAAAGTATATTCTATTTAATCAAAATTCATTTATTTTTACATTGTTCAATTAATTTTAATTAACATTCTCTATATCCGATTTATAATAGAAATACACCCGAGGTTGTGTCAAAAATGACTGCAATCAGAGAGATGTATCCAGGAAAGAAGATCATTGTTGGTAGAGATAAATTGGATTTGGTCAAAGGTGTGATTCAAAAGTTGCGTGCATTTGATAAATTCTTGTCGTTATATCCTGAATGGCAAAATAAAGTAATTTCTTTATTATCGATATCTATTCTATTACTTTAATTCATTTTTAAATTTATTGTCATATACAATTGATATTACATTAATTGCAACATTTTAGGTTGTACTTATTCAAGTCACATCTCCTGCATTAACCGAATCGCCAAAACTTGAACATAAGGTTGCCGAACTCATTGCTCACATAAATGCAACATATGGATCGCTAGAGTTTTCTCCAGCTCATCATTATCACAACAATATCGATCAAGATGATTATTTTGCACTGTTAAGTGTAGCTGATATAGGTTTGATTACTTCAGTACGGGATGGAATGAACACTACTTCATTGGAATATATAATGTGTCAGCAAGAAAATTATGGACCATTGATCCTGAGTGAATTCACAGGAATGGCTGGTTCATTAGGAGCTGCGATTATGGTAAATCCTTGGGATTATACAGGTGTTGCTAAAGCTATCAACGACGCTCTCCTGTTACCTATTGAAGAGAAACGGGCTAAACATATGGTATTTTTTTAAAAAAAAAATTATCGAGACAATTCTAATAATAAAAAGAATAATCGAAGAATTATCTTCTTATTCATTACTCTAATTCCATTACACGCCTACACATTATATTAGCAATTGTTAAAGCATGTAACAAAACATACTGCTCAATTTTGGGCACAATCATTTGTCAAAGATCTTTTAGCCACCATTGATCATCAAGTCATGACCAGTATTACACCACAATTGGATAAAGACTTATTATTGAAAAAATACAAATCCTCCAGTAAAAGATTGTTACTTTTCGATTATGATGTATTAAATATTTTAATTTAATAGTTGGGAGCTATTAGTAAATCGTATATATCCAATAAATATACTTTATTAACATTTTTTTTTATAAAGGGTACACTTACACCAATCGTAAGAACTCCAAGCCAAGCAATACCGCCACCAAATATGCTTGAAGCGTTACGAGAACTTTCTGATGATCCAAATAATACAATATGGATAGTTTCAGGACGCGATCAAGAAACATTGGAGGAGTGGCTAGGAAGTGTTAAGAAACTTGGGTTCAGGTAATTTTCAATTTATTGATCGTATTCGTATTAGAAATATTAGGATATTTAAAATATTTTTTTTACGTTTTTACAAAATCTAAAAATATTATACAGCGCCGAACATGGTAGCTTTTTAAAATATCCAGAGAGTGATAAATGGATTAATCTCACTGAAGATATAGATATGACATGGAAGAATGATGTTGATGAGATATTCACATATTTTACGGAACGTACTCAAGGTTCATTTATTGAGCGTAAACGATCATCTATCACATGGCATTATCGTAAAGCGGATCCTGAATATGGGTAAGTATTTTTCATAGTCCCGGTTCGAACTATTTTAGACATAATATATGTCTTATAAAATCACTTTTTTTTATTAGAGCATTCCAAGCTAAAGAATGTCAAAATCATCTTGAAAGTGCAATTTTACCCAAATTGCCGGTAGAAATTTTAACTGGGAAGAAAAATTTGGAAGTTCGTCCGACATTTATTAATAAGGTATTTAAAAAGAATACAGATTGAGTATAATTTTATATTTTATTTGATTGTTTCTAAATCTTTATTCTCATCCAAACAGGGAGAAGTTGTCAAACGTTTATTGTCCAATATGCCCGAATTGGATTTTATATTTTGTGCGGGAGATGATCGAACTGATGAAGATATGTTCAAAGCATTAAGGAAATCCGAATTTCCTGACGACTCTTACTTCTGTGTCACCATAGGAGCCGCCAATAAGAAAACATTAGCAGGGTGGCATGTATTATCATCGGAGGAAGTTATAAACACAATGCGACAGATGGTTGATGCTGGAAGATCACTTATTGAATAGAGAATTTTTTTCAAGTATATAGTTATAATATTTAATGCTTACAATTTAAAAATAATACGTTCTTATAAAAAAGAAATTTCCTATGTTTATTGCCTATAATCCTATAATATTTCTTTGAAAATAAGAAAGAAATGCTAATTTAAGCAACACAGTCAAATACGCAGTAAAAATATAAGAAATCCAATTGATAATTTGTAGCATTATCCTCTTTTCGCTTATTGATATATACAAAAGTGTATTATTTATTATTGTTCATATGAATTATTAAATTTCTGGTCACCAGTGTTTCTCTGTCCCTCATGTGATAGTGACCCAATGAAAGCGTTTCTTATTTTTAGATTATTGGATAATTTTAGATTATGCTCCGGACTTGTAGTACGTTTCCTAGTATACTTTAAAAAATTTAATAGATCATGACAAAATATAAACTACTTATTTGTATTTTTCTTTACTTAATTTTAATTTTTTATTTTTTTCCAAAATATTGACAAAATCCAAATTAGCTGTAGATCATTTTTCTCCTACAGAAAAATCAAACATTTGTAATAAAAGATACCACTAGTATTTAGTTTATAGAACAAATCCTTTTTACAGGTTGAATGTAGTAGATCACAGTGTCAGGTTTTCCTGTAATGCTCCTAATGACTTGAATGATCTGATGTTACAGAAATAAAATATTATCTTGTAGTCAAAACTAGAGTTTTCAAAATATCTTAATAAAAAATCACTACCTGTTGCATAAATTGTGAACAAAGTCAAAAAATATAATTTTTATCAATGTCCTTTTTAAGTCATCTTCCAAGGATCCATAATGCTCCAGGACCATCTGCATTACTGAAAGTTTCTTCAATAGATATCCTTTCCAAGTCATCTTCTAAGAATCCACCATCTTGAACAGATGTTTTGAAACCATCTTCTTCACTAGGAGATTCACTGGACTCATTTTCAATTTCCAAATAGGCAAAGAGTTTTTCTTCTAACTCTTCTACTTCAAATTCTTCATCACTTTCTGTATCAGATTCAGTTCCACTTTCTTCTTGTTCTTTTAGTCTTTTACAATTACCAGTCTATCACTTTCAAGAGGTTGGAAAAAAAGTTTTCTGAATTCTACTAGTATCTTTATCTTCTGGCACAGGTCAAATACAAAAGATATACCATACCAAAAAGGAATTCTGATTTTAGCTAATTTATAATATAGAATGCAATAGGACAGTTGATTTTTATCAATTTTTAGCTAATCTATAGTATAGGAATCACCATTCGGTACAGTGATTCTTTTGTATTTGACTATTTAAAGAATAATCATTTTGAAATTGTTAGCAGGTATTTCTTGAAAAAAAAAACTCTTTCTTGTTTATCAAATTTTGAGTAAAATCCACAGCAAAATTTAAGCAAAAAAGATTTTGTTTTATTTTAGTTTGAATAATAATCAACCATGTTATACTTGATATGGGTGATAAACCTTTTGAGAGATCCAGGAGAACTGGTGCAAACTATACCAGGCCTAATGTTATTTCTTTATCAAATAAAAACAAATTTAAATTTAATCTTATCAACAAGAAAGTTAAGTTTTTAAATAAAAACATGACAGGAAAAATACAACTGCAAGTATAGAATCAACAGAAGAATATTGAAAAGTAAACTAGTTTTTCAAGTTACAATTTTATTAAAAGATAATAACAAAGATACAAATAATAACCAAACTATTGAAGAAATGATGAACATGGAAGAAATGTAGAAAATAATGAATTAAATAAAAATTAAGAAATCAATGAAGAATTAAATAAAAATCAAGAAATCAATGATACAACTGACTAGATAAAAGTAGGAAGTAATAAAAGTAAAGAAAAAGGCAAAGAGAAAGAATTGATTAATGAAGAAAACACAAATAAACAAGAAAAGATAGAATCAATCACCTTCTTCGAGACTGAGAATAATTATCAAACTGGTTGGCGTAGCTCTCTAGATGCAAAAAAAATATATAATTTAAACTATAACAGAAAAAATTTTGAAAAAAATTTAAATGAGAAATTGGAAAAAATCAAATTAATCTTGAAACAACAGTTTGTAATAATCAAAGTATAAACTGAAATATTTAACAACAATAAAATAATTGCAACCTATTATGACAATGAAAAAGAAATGGAAAAAAGAAAAAAATATGATATGAGTAAACATGTATCACTGGTTAAAATAGGAAATATTGGACACCTATTATATACCTATTAGGAACCCAATAGGCATATGATAAATATCTGATATTAACAATTATGTAATATATCAGACACCCAATTGGTAAGGTCGAAATGCAGAAGTTCGGACTATATATGTTTTCAAAATTGGTTTTGGATTTTTGAGGTATTTCAACTTTTTGAAATTTATGTAGAATTTATTATCCAGTTTATACATGTTCCCAAAATTGATTTTGGATTTTTGAGGTATTTCGACTTTTTGAGATTTATGCAAAATCTATTTTATATATGGAAGTAAAAAAAGTACTTAGTTATATGTATCTTTAATCAAAGAATAAATTTGGGTGGTCGAAAAATTTCAGGTTTTAAGTAAAATAATTTTGTCTTCTATGAAAAACTATTTCAACTTTTTTCTCCGAAATTGCAATTTCGAGGCCCCAAAATAATTTTGCGTGCAAGTATAATCCAGTTATATATATATTTAATCAAAGAATAAATCTGGGTGGTTAAAAAATTTAGGTTTTAAGTAAAATAATTTCGTCTTTTATGAAAAACTATTTTGACTTTTTTTTTCAAAATTGCAATTTCAAAATTTCAAAATAATTTTGTATACAAGTATAATTTAAGCACTTATTGGGCCCATATCAATTTCATTACGGATATTAATATTTTGACATTTTATTTAAATTCATTATTCATATATCGGGTACCTAATTTTATTTATTTTTTTTATTAGGTACATATCTTTTATAAATTAGCCATAGTATATTTCTATATATCAGATACAATATATCTCTGTGTATTGGGTAGTTTTTTTCTCTCTATTGAATATCTATCAGTACCTTTTATTTATATATATATATTTTCACTTCTTTTTTATTTACAAATAATTATAATTTTAGTTTATTATAAAAAAAGATAATAAAATGAAATAAATTTATTATAAAAAATATAAAATGAAATATATTATATATACTATGTAAAATGTTTATATTTAAATCTATCTAATTATTTTTTTGATTTTTTTTTTTGAATTTTTTTTTTTTTCTTTTTCTTTTTGTTTCCTTTTTTTACTACTAGTTTCTACTTCATGATTATTATTATTATCTTTTCATTTTCTTTTTTTACTACTTGTTCTTATTTCATGATCATTATTGTCATTACTATTATTATTACCATTATCTTGGTTAGTAATATCTAGATCATAGATCAGAATAATTCTATTTTTCCACTTTAATTTTCTAAGTGCTACTATATTTAACATTCAAATTGAAGTGTTTTTTGATATTTCTACTTCTGTTAGTATATGTTGTAAAGATCTGATTTTAATTTTTGATACTTTTAACAGTTTGTACATAATATCGATTATTAGGTCAATTCTTTTGTGCAGTAACTTTTTTAACTATAAAATATTATTTATTAATATCATATCTAATAAATATAAAAATATCATTACCATTGATCTACTTACTGAATCAGATTCTACCATTTATCTTTAATAAAAATTGATATTATTGTTTTACATAAGCAAGTAGCAGTGATAGTAGTGGTGGCAGTAGTGGAGATAGCGGCATCTGTAGTAGCATTAATTCTATTTTTACTATTACTACTACTATTATTATTCACTGGTCGAAAATTGATAAAACATACACATATCGGGTACCCGATATGTGCATGGTGTGTCCCTAATATCGGGCAT